TCAAGTCCATCATATGCATTAACTCATTCTTGACCGATTTCGACTTTTTGGGAGCTAGTCTGAGCGCTTTTAAAAATAAAAATGGTCCTGTGGTCGTGATATGTTGTAGCTTTGGTCGTGCTTTATTAGGTTCATGGTAGTTGTCGAGTATCCGTTAAATGTGTAGATTCGTCTTTTTGCTTAACCTTGACTGAACATAACCTAAAATCAGAAAATGAAGCTCCAAAAATTCCCATTTGCTTGGGTCTATGAGTAGGTTATAGTGCTGTGTCAGATCTGTACTAATGATTAGCGAAGAAACGTCTGCCGTAAAGAAAATCTAGTGGAATGTTTTTGTGCACACTCACGTTGAGATTAACATATCTCCTAACGTATGTGACGGTCGGTTATCCGTTTGCCGCCTGCAAGATGACTTGTTCTTGCAGACGGTTGTTAATATTCACCGGGAAAAAAGTTTAATCATTCTCCAGAGTTGATGAGGTGACAACAGACGGTCATTTCCGCCGGCTACGTTTGTTGTTGACGCGTGCGTCAGGGAAACTTTTGAAAAGATTTATCATGACAGAAGGTTTAAGGTCAGAAAAACCTCAGACTTTTCTGCAATTTCTAAAGGCCCAGATGTGTTCATCATATACAGGTGATGATTACGATGAGACGAGTCAATATTGATAGTGATGTAACTTTCACGAAGGATCTTATAGATTAAGTAGTTACATCATTTCAAATCTACAATTTTATGATTAGGTCTATTATTACAGCAGCACCAATAACACAGTTAACTATAGTTATACAATGTAACATCGGTGTTGTGGTGCCAACACCGATCAGGAGTATCTGTCTCTCGCGGACAAGAGACATCTATTTTGGAAGCTTTTTTAGCTGCAATGGTTTTCAAATTTAGAGATTCGCTCTACTATATCGGTCGAGTGTATTTTGAGAACCAAAAACAGGTGAAGTGTACCGGGAGTAGGAAGCACATTGATCGAGCGAAAGACTGCTAAAAAAAACGTAGATTTGCAAATCAACAGAATGATGGGTTCGGACCATTCCTACAGAGTCAGAGGAAAAAGAGGTGATGCTGAGTTTATCAAACGTCGTAATCAGGTAACAATCAGAAAATATACATCCGAAAATGAGGGCAAAATCAAATGCTTCATCATAGGACGCAAAAGTATATTATACAACATTATTAAAAATTAATAAACAAATTCCATTGAAGAGCACAGATTTCGTGCGGGAGAAAATTCTGTTGATTTCGGCAACCCGAAAATTTTTACCATTTGTCAGTATTATTTTTGTTTAAATGTCTAACAGAAGGGTGTTTATACGGTTGATCTATAAGTTCAGTCCATGGTACAAAAAGATATTACTTCAAGGAGATTCAGTGATTTATTATGAATTGTGGGACATCGTGAGGACAGACATTAATATAAATTAGGTTTTAGAATCCGGAGATCCATGAAGAGATGATGTCGAAAATACTTGCAGGCAGTTATAGGAGGCTAAGATGAATTATATGGTTAGCAGCATGTGCTGAATGGGTACCTCAGACAGGCGGCTGATAATGCAAAATCCAATGAATGAAAAGCAAATAACAGCTATCTAACCCGTGACAAACTTGCAATCGGCGATAATTTTTGCTTTTTAACCCGTCTAGTGCTGATATAAGTATATTTTTGAAAAATTGGGGTGTTCATCACGAAACAATGAAGTTAAGTAAGACAGTATCAAAGTTATCAGGTTAGACGTACCTTTATTCTCAACATTACTTTCAGAAATGATGTCACAACCGGGATTAGTTCATAACTGTTATTCATTTAATCATTCCACTCTCTCAGGTAAAAAGAGGATTCTATTTATTCATGTATGGAGTACATCTTGGATACTGTAGATATGTAACTGTATAAATAAAAAAATATCAACGTAAGGTTTTCCGCGCTCTCTTTGATTGAAATGTGACCCCGTCGTGCTCTCACCGACAGCCAGAAATATCCGCTCTTCCCATAACATGTCTTTATATTTAACTATAAACTATACCGAGGTTCAATTACCATGCGTTAGATCTATGTACAAATGACTTGTGGGTAAGGTACTGGACTCACGTGAAGTCGTTTTCACAGGATGGACAGAAGTAGCGTTGCAAATTTAAGTGTCATCTGAGTCCTAGTTTGTTTCTCACTTTCGAGTAGCATTTATTCACCTATGTCTTACTTTCCTCTTTCGAGAATTTCAACTTTCATACTTCATCTTTAAATTGTTTCACATTTTACTTTTAGTTCATTCAATAGCGTACACAGTATTAGTGTTGTCATCAGTACTCACGCTATAACTAGGACTACTGGCAGAGGTAAAGTATTAATTCAATGGTCGAAAATCACCGTTTCTAGTAACGGAATTATGAAAAAGATAAAGAACCTCAGGATAATATCTGTAACACAAATCACTCAACTCAAACACCGAAACCGATTCTGCAATTTAGTTGTCAAGACCACACTTCTACTCAGATCAATACAACTTGTAGGACAAGCAAGTAAAGAAGAAACACGGGAAAAGGCGTCCCAAACTGCCCGTGGTGCTGACTTTTAGAGAGAAGCAGTACAAAAACGATAATCATATCGCATGCTCGTCATTTGATTGGAAAAAAGATCCATCATTTGAATGTGATTTATGCAGTGGCCAGGTTCACTGTCACCATGGTACAGCAGTACGTAGGTATTACTAGGGGTTTGTAATAAAGTCAGTCATGTCCATCGTTGTTGTATGTTTACACACAGTACATGCCAGCAGAACTTAGAAAGAGAGACATAAAATTCCACTGGTAGCATTTGTATCAAGCCTGAACAGTATGTCCAAATATTTAGGGACAGATACAACCAAACACGTGACTATTGTCGTGTGAAATCGAGCTCATACACCAATGAAATTGCCGACTGTTGCTGATACCCCAGTATTTGTTGAACTGTAAGGAGCGATGGGTCAGTATTGGGAAAGAAAATGGCAAACAATTAGCTTCTAAAACGTCAAAAGTGGAGGATAAAGACGTTAAGTAAAACTCCATGATTTTGTCTAAGGTCCCTGTGTCGGCGATTAGCTTATTAGAAAGTAGTGCAGCCTTTGATAAATAGTGCAAGGATGAGTAGTATCACTTTAGTCAAACTACGCCACTTTTACAAAGTCAGGAACGTAGAAAAAGGCGAATCCTTTTCATTAAAAGTAACAGTCCACAGTAAGGAAGATGGAGACAACAGGCCCGCTAACGGGGCAAGTTAAACTGGGGTACGTAGTGATCCATAGATTATCATCTCCCATTTGGATCAACGATGTCTGATGTATATCCCACAATACATCATGGTTAGTATTGCTTCACATCAGTGAATTACTCCTATTCTCCTTGTTATCATCTCCGGTTTCCCCCATATCCTTCCAATTCTGTCCTCCTAAACATTCCCAACTAATTAACTTATTTATCATTTTTGAAACTCGAATAATCACTTTGTTCCTTCAACAGACCTCCACCCTGGCAGTGTGATAGCTGGTGAAATTTAGAAACTTTACTGTTCTGAGTCAAACGCACTCACTGAAATTACGAGATCCACAGATCCACTAATAAATACCGAATTAACTGAAATTGATTCAGTTGAGAGGCGAGACTAGCACCCATGGAACATTGCTAATTACCCAGAACCTTACCGAAATGAAAAGAAGCCAGCGCAAATAAATCAATCGGTTTACGGAAGCTTATGACAAATATATTTTTTATTGGATATAGTGGAAAACGTTTATCACATGAAGACCTGGTGCGCTGGTGCGCTCTTAAGGACCAAAAATTACCTATAGACGTAGCTTACATCGATTTCAGCAAAGCTTTCGACAAAGTTCCGCATAACCGGCTGTTATATAAGCTAAGGAATGTCGGGATTGGAGGCAATCTATTGATGTGGATAAAAGACTTCCTAGTTGGGCGTCAACAAAGAGTAAGGGTGATTTCCAAGTTGTCTAGCTGGGAAACTGTGCTTAGTGGAGTCCCCCAGGGTACAGTTTTGGGGCCAGTGTTATTCCTCCTGTACGTAAATGATCTCCCTCGTCTACTATCGTCATCGGTCTTACTCTATGCTGATGATGTCAAGATATGGAGAGCGATACAAAGCAAGGGCGATAGCTTAGAACTTCAAAATGACCTGGAGAGATTATCTGAATGGTCCCAAACCTGGCAATTGCCGATAAACACTTCCAAGTGTATTGTGATGCATATTGGCCATCAGGGTACAGATACATACTTGATGAATAACACTGAGTTACCTATTGTTCAGGCACACAACGACTTAGGCGTCATCGTCAGTCAAGACTTAAAGACTACTGCACACTGCCGTGCAATAGCCGCCAAAGGTTTTAGGACTTTATGGTCCATACACAGTGCTTTTAGGCATCTCAACGCTAAAACGTTTCTGACTTTGTATACAGTGTTCGTACGTCCTAAACTTGAGTACTGCATACAAGCAGCTAGCCCCTGCCTAAAAAAAGACAGTGAACTCTTGGAAAGGGTTCAGATAACAGCAACTAGGCTGGTTCCCGGAATAGCGAAGCTCTCGTATGGTACTAGACTGACCAAGCTAAACCTATTCCCGCTGTCATATAGAAGAATCAGAGGTGACTTGGTTATAGTTTTCAAATTGCTTAATGACAAATTTGCACCTGATATGCCCTCATTTTTCTTGTCTTCCAAAACAGAAAATCTACGAGGACACTCCAAAAAAGTTCACAAGCCCAGAACGAATTACTTGTCAGCTGACTACCGACTTTCCCATCGAATAATCAACGAGTGGAATTCATTACCTCAGCACGTGGTTGAGGCTCCATCCGTCGACTCCTTCAAAAGAGAGTTGGATCAGCTGAGAGACCATCATTACCAGGACTAACACAGGCCATCAAGCCTCCTGTCCTTTCCAAACTGAAACTGAACTGAAACTGAAACAATTGGCGCCTAAGCTGTAGGCAAGGTCGACGCTACGTTGGAATATTGTAGGTAGTTTGATGTTATCTGTTTGATGTAGAAAACCTGTTTTTACGTTCGTTTGATGTTTTCGCATTAAAAAATATCTGGGAGTATTATATCAATGCTAGTTTTCGGGAACGCGTACTCAAGTCCCGTTTTCTCAATATAAGCAAGTTCAAAAAAAACTTTGAGAATAAGTTGTGAGTACAAGGAAGATAAAAGTTTGCTTTAAAAACTAGGCTCAGATAAACTACGGTCAGATTCACAAAGTTCCTCAGTGCGTTTACTTTAGTGTATTCGGTTTTCTTCGATTGAGAGTTCGAACTCAAATAAAATACAACGTACAGTGATAACAAACCTATTTATAATGTTAAAATTTCACGATCAGTAAGTGAAATTGATCTGTTTAGCCATTTCCTTTCTCGGTCTTGTCAGTTTTCAACCTAAACATGATTTGACTGGCTGATTTCGGACCGCTTGAATAATCACATTCGAACACATATTCTTTTAAATGCAGTTTTCAGTAGGATATGTATAATAATGACTCGTTTTTGCATAATTATTTAGCTCCACCGTTTAAAATTTTTGGTGAGGTCTAGATAAAGTAGAGTGTTGTTCTGATTAGGTCTGGGCTTAGCAGAAAAGTATTTTTTGACTGTCTTTTGGGACGGCTAGCCATAGCCGTTATCTAAACGAACAATCCACAAACTACTCCAAAATTAGGTCTTATGATTGAACTTGTCAACTCACTTGTTGTAATCATTGTTAACTTTACGCAGTTTGATCGCCTGTCTATATATTTTCCCTTACCTACGAAGTGTTATTAATATATTGTGTGTATAATGTTTAGTAGCGTTCTGATTTTGTATGACAGTTTGCAAACAAATAAATACCAACCAGATTTATAAGTAAAGACTCAATTAGTGCATTATTCATCACTCCGTTTTCTGTTCCACGTTTATGATATTGCAAATGTAACCTGCTTAATTCTAATTTATTGCAGTCATGGTGTCAGTACTGTCATATATTTTACCTGTCTACAAAACATTCTTTTCTCATCCACTATTCCGTTTTTGACTTTGTAAAGAGATCCTATGGTAAGGCTTTAAATCCATCAAAATATTTAATTATTGTTTCATATCCCTCACTTAAATTGCAGTCTTCCACCTAAGTGTACTTTAACAGGGTGGTGATGTTTTCGTTTTCCAAGCCTACGTTTTGTTATTTACTTATTTTTTTCAGAACATATGACTCTAGATGAACGCTTTCAAAAACTTGGAACCCTTCTTCAAGGTTTCAAAATCACTGATTCGTCATTGTTGTCTTATGGCACTGCCGGGTTTCGTCTCCCCGCTGATAAATTGGGTGGTGTAGCGATTCGATTAGGAATATTGGCATGTATCAGATCATTAAACTTGGTACTGATGCATTTGTTAACTAATCTGTTTAGCAATGTAGGGCAGTGGGTATAATGATAACTGCTTCTCACAACCCACCATGTGACAACGGTATGAAGTTAGTTGATCCTCATGGAGGTATGTTGGATGCTGAGTGGGAACCAGTTGTGGTCAGTTTTATGAGTTGTCGCGATGAATCTATCTCTAAATGGTTATCGGAACATGGCTGCAACTTCCAAGGTATGATCTGTTTTATAGGTTAGCTTTGCCGTTTGCAATCTAGCTTCTCATCTCAACAACTTGTTTTATGTAAACCTTTATTCACAAATGTAGTGTAAAGCAAATTAGAGATTGTTACATTTTATTTTTACTTTTATGGAACACTTGTTAGTTAGGAGGAACTATTAGTGTCATAATATTTAGTAAGCTACTGATGATTGTTGTAATTCAGCGAGTGAATCCGAGCCCTTACGTTTTTCTGTAAATCATATTTATTATGAGCTTTAGATTATAACCATCTTGCCAATCTGTTCCAGAGATTCTTTATCTTTCCTCTTAGATCACACAGTTCATAACTTCATGAACGAATAACGTTGGTTCATCTCTTCACTCCCAGTTTCGTTCAGCGTATTTGTATCCTAAACAACTACCATTTATTTAAAAAGATGAATGAAAACTATGATAAGACTCGTTACCGTTTTGGTTTCAAAAAAGACCACTTAAGTTTACTTTATATCTTTGATTACCGTAATACTTCAATAAAATTAACCGTTTGAAAAGATTTGTTAATCGTGGGATCAACTGGTACCACTTGCTTAATATTAATCCAATCTTCACATTTCAATAGTAGCTATTTTTTCTGTAGTATTCTCAAGCAAATGAAAGTAAATCTCCTCCAAAAATCTTGTTTTTTCTGCTTTTATTAAGTTAATGCCTAGTTTGCTGATGATGGTGATGTTTCTGCATGAACTTATTCGGTATCCATTCCATCGTAGCTGTATGTACACGGCTCAAGTTAAAAATAATTTCTAAAATTCGCAGATACCTAAGTAGATGATGTAAGGCTTTTTATATTTAAAACCAGCGTTTGAAAGGTAATTGACTAGTCCTACATAGATTTAAACGCTTATATCGGGTTTCTCTTTTGTTTGTCGCCAAAATACTATCCTTATGTGGTTGCACAGTGAGTTCATATACAGGCTGATTGCTTGATTATTCCTACTGATTTAGTATAGTTGCATGTTTGAAGTAATTTTATCCACCTCTTTTCCAAATATAGGTTCAAGTGTGTATTCCCTATGAGACATAATTTGTTTATCTTTTCATTTTGTCTTTCAGATGATCAGCTACCCCATGTTGTTTTGGGCTTTGACACTCGTGAAAGTTCTCCAGCTTTAGCAAATGAAGTTAAACAAGGTGTTAATGTTATGCATGGCATCTGCCATGAACTTGGACTGGTGACGACTCCTCAACTTCATTATTTTGTTCAATATATTGTGAGTTACTGGGATTGGCCAACTCACATTTGAAAACATTTTAAAAATTTTCACAATATCGTTTTTTGGCTTAGTCGTTCTTTAGAGTCGTACATTTCTACTTTATTTATTTTCAGAATAATTTACTAGTTTATTATACAGAATGTGTTATTGTTAAGTCACTAGTGTAGTGTTTGAGAATAGAATCTGAACTGTTAGGAATAATGAAGTTGCTTGTCTAGACTGTATCATACTACCAACGTTGGATGACTTTTAAAATGGCTCAGTGATAACGCAGTTTTAATTGTTCATTTATGTTTGTAAGGGTAATAAAACTTTGATATTTACAGGACTTTTATATAACCTATTAAGCCATCAAGGTCTGTGTATGTGTTATCTTGTGCACTACTAATAACGTGATCTGTGTGCTAGCTAACTTAATAAGGAGGAAAAATGAACCAGTAGTTATTGGTTTCCTTTGTCGAAACAAGTTTCATCAGAATGAGTGAATGCTTCGCGTATATTTTTGTTCATACAACATCATTCTACTCTATAATATTATTGACTTGATCATCAGTCAGAAAGAATCTTAAATACTGAGTGAAGATATCTACAAAACTATTGGTTCGGTAGGATGGTATAATTTAACTAGTTCCCTGATGTAATATTATGTGAAGTGATGAAATTAGTAAACGTGTAAAGCAAAATAATATTGATAGCTGACTGTTTGTGGGAGCAATATAAAGAAGACAAAGAGACTGGAAGGTAATAATAGCCATTGATTAGCCAAGCAAATGAGATGAGTAAGTTTGGAATTTTAGTAAATTAGAGGATTCGATGTGTTGCTCTCAGATAAGGAGTTCAAACTCAAGCGAGTTGAACCTTCAAGTTTGTTGACTGAATTATTTGCTTCTCATGATACCTAGGTAAGTTATTACATGATATCTATCTTCCTCCAATAGGAAACCTAAAAGAGGTTAGATAATGAATCAGAGTAAGTGTACTCAAGATTGTTAACTTGTTCATTGCTCACTCTCGCTGGTGATTAAGAGTCTGTAAGCTTCAGAATGTTTTGATACGAAAATTAGTGACACGGTTTATAACGGTTCACACTGGAATTGCTGCATTCAGTCTGTGAAGTTAGAAACTTACATTTTTGAAAATACAAATTTAGTCTCACATGAAAGTTGATATCGTTAACCAATTTGGCAAGATAAAAGTATCACAAAGGCGATGTATTATGTCATGTGATCATTAAAGTTCGTAAACGTTATATGAGACATATGATAGCTGAATAATGTAGTCTCTTTTTCTCCCGTTGCGCTTTATTTCTCTTTGTGGTGTTTTTCAGTGATAACTTGTATTTTCATGTGAAATTTTCACTTAAATGGACGGAAGCTCTAAACTAGACGTAAGACTAGTTAATATTTTAAATTAGATAGTTCTTGGTGTTATTTCTGTGTTATATCTCACCATTCTATTTTTCCATTCCTTATGAAATTACAGAATTCAATTGGTAACCTATGTTCCAACCAACTTGCTGATTTAGAAACTATTTACGTTCATCATTTTGCTGAACGTTTCACCACCGCGTTAGAAAATTTACAAAGTTGTACTGAGTCAATACATTTAAATGTAGATTGTGCACATGGTGTTGGTTCTAAAGTTTTAGAACGTTTTTGTGCATATTTTTCATCTGTCAAAGGTCCACGTAGATTAATATTACACTTATATAATACAGAGACAGAGAATAAAGAGTTACTTAATCAAAATTGTGGGGCTGATTTTGTTAAAGTAAGCTATTTGTATGTCCATTTTTGCTTTTACAAACAATATTTAGCAAAAATCACATTTGCATATTGTGCTACAAACCATATTAAATCAGGGGTTAGATAAAGTGGAATTTGAACTTTTCACCTCATAATATGCATGACTTGGATATCGGAAAATCGATACATTTTTAGTATAATTTGATGGAAGTCTCATTTGATTAAAAGTCATATGTTTTGGCTTTGAACTAGGCCCATATACTAACATACAGAAGCGGTGTAAACTAAGTAGGAAACTAGCGTCTCTATGACAGAGTACATTTAGCTTTGTTCGTTGTAGCGAATCTTCCTTCCAAAAACTATCTTCATGTGGTACTTTAGTTTGTATAACTTGTTGATATTTCGTTTGTGTTGGCTATAATTTTAAACTCTTTATGTTAACAGGTAGTTGGTCACACTTTCTTCAAAGCTAATGATACTTATTTTCATCTGAACATATAAACACTAAGTTAAAATTTTTGAAAGTGTAATTTGGAAGTTATGTAGAATTTCTTTTAGTTACTCTATAAACATATTAAGTTTTATATTCACGCTTTTTGTTTGTAGGTCAACACGTGTAATGACTAAACACGCATACATACATCTTCTTGCTACTTAAAGCTAGCGGAATCTAATTAGTCGAAGTACTTCGGTTGTATTTGATAATGAAATAAAAACAATCGGTAGCCGAACTTGTTTTATTCCTTACCATTTAATTGTTAATTAAATGTTTGTTCAACATTTGAACAGGCTCCGTATAAAATGCAGAGATTTTAGTTTATAAAATGACACGTATTACAATATACCAACTGTCAGTCATGTGCGTATTGTAGTCGAATTGAATTTCATAATCAAATCTTCGTATTTACATAAGCAGTGTGAAATTAGTCGTTTCTTATTTTATTGGAAAGTGTAAAAATAATGGAAATTCAATTAAAATCTTTCTAATTGAGGATGAGTTGATAGTTTTTTATTTCTAAATATTTATTATTGTGTTTAGTGGTGAAGCGTGTTGAGGAATATGATATATATATATATATATATATATATATATATATATATATATAAAATTTCTTGTGTTGTCAATAGACGTACTCTTTGTATGTGTATTTATATTCTCGGGATATTAGGTGACACTCGCTCGAATCTCTCAAGAAGCATAAATTTCCTCAAGATTATAAATCTGCCTTGCTGATGAGATTACTAACTAACATAAAATCTATATTTATAGCTACAGGTCAATTACTTTTCAACCGCCTAACATATTTTTCTGTGTTTACAAGCCTAACTTTTCCATATATTAGGTTCTTTGAATTTTTACTGATATATACGAAACCTTAATAAATTGTTTTTACTCTTCACTTCATTGAAGTTATGAACAACAACCATTGTTCGTATTTCTAAGTAGCTGTCTTATGTTTTTCTTAGTTATATCTATGCTGCGTTTTCTTATTTGTTCAACAGATTACATTAAATGCACCAAAGTTAACTCCACCGAATGAACAGTCTATCATGTATCCAGATAGATGGGCAACAATCGATGGAGATGCTGATAGATTAATCTATTTTCGACCAATTTTTACGCATTATTCACCATCTTCAGGTGATAATAGGTTAAATAATGACGTGAAAGAATTACATCTACCTGGGGCTGTAGCTCAACAAGTTGAACTTCTGGATGGTGATCGTATATCATGTCTTTTTGCTCATTTTCTTGTTAAAGTTCTCAAATCAGTATCTTCCGATCGTAATTTAACTATCGGAGTCATACAGACAGCTTATGCAAATTCTGCGTCTACACGTTATTTAACTGAACATCTTCATGTATCAGTAGTTTGTGTTCCAACTGGAGTAAAACATTTGCATCATGCAGCACAAAGTTTTGATTTTGGGATTTATTTTGAGGTAATAAATTTTTATATCACTTATAACTTTAATTTCGATCTGGTATTGCAATAACTGAAGTTTAACATTTCAATGTATTTAGCGTAATATTCTATTCACCCGTGTTTCAATCTTCCTGATAATCATCAGGAAGGTGCACCCACAACTATTTTCGTAGAAAACTCATACCTCCTTTAAAATTTGAATCTGGATAAATTATCTCCAAGTTATTTGTAACAATTTATTAACGATACTTGGAAAGAGTCCGAGTCCTTTCAAGTTTTGTTGGGTACTTAGCTAATGTATAGCTGCTAAAAACATTAAACTCCGCGGCCCTTGACGTCTCATCGTTTAGTTTTAGTATCCAGACTACATTCTCCACTGGATAAGATTTCGCTAACGTTACCTTAATCGGAAATACGAAAAGCGTCAATTAGTAATAACTTTATGAAAGTAAGGTTAAAATTTCCGGTCCAAAATTATTGATACACTGCTTAAACAGTTTATTCTAGCACAAAGGTTATCCGACCTCAATTAGTAATAGATAATCTTAGAATGGTGACTATTCGAAGAATAAATGTGTAGTAATTCTAATAAAAAATTTTGAGCATCTTTAGCCTTTTGATTGGTGTATATGTTTTCTTTATTACTATTTAGTTGAAAAAATTGTTAACAAACATTAACCGGTTTGTGTTTTATGCCTTGTGAAAATATCGTTAAGCTGGTTTTTAAAGTTTGTTGCACTTTCAGAATACGAAACACTTATCCACCCACTTTTTAAATTCCCCCAGTAGTTTTTTCTAACGTTGATTAGTGATACTATTTATTGCTCGGTTATGTGAGAGGAAATACGTCCAATGTTATTGCTAACAATATTCGTACAATGTCCACAAACATATCATGCGCATTTCCATGTTTAATGAATGGATTTTTCTTAACTATTTCACTAATTTCACTTAGTGTTTAAGTAGGTTAGAAGAAAGTTAACAGCGACCAGATCAAAATGTGTGGTCAGTCCCTTAACCCACTGACTACTGGTGCGAACTATGTTGGTAAATGTGGATTACCTGACTGAGCCCTGCACAATAACCGCGATCAGTGGTTGAAGACATTGGTTGATGATACTCATAATCAGTTACATTCACTCTTTACCTTCAGTTCCAATATTTTTTTGTATACACTTACTTACTCCTTTTACTCCTCGTGGAGGAGCATAGATCGCCCACCAGCACTCTCCATCTAACCCTGTCCTGGGCAATCTGTTCCAGTTGTTATTCATCGTTTTCACATCTGCTTCTATTTCCCGACGTAATGTGTTCTTTGGCCTTCCTCTTTTCCGCTTCCCCTCATGATTCCAAGTTAGGACTTGCCTCGTGATGCAGTTTGGTGATTTACTTAATTTTGGTCCTATCCACCTCCAACGTGTTTTCCTAGTTTCCTCTTCAGCTGAAAGCTGGTTTTTTCTCTCCCACAAAACTTGTTGTTGATGGTATCCGGCCAGTGAGTATTGCTTAGACAACTGTTTAGAAATACTTGTACCTTCTTGATGATGGTTGTAGTAGTCCTCCACGTTTCAGCTCCGTACAGTAGAACTGTCTTGACGTTTGTATTAAAGATTGTGACTTTGATGTTGGTTGAGAGTTGTTTTGAGTTCCATATGTTCTTCAATTGTAGGAATGCTGTCCTTTCTTTGCCAATCCTCGCCTTTACATCTGCATTAGATCCTCCTTGTTCATCAATGATGCTTCCCAGGTACGTGAATGTTCCTACATCCTCCAGAGTTTCGCCATCAAGTGTGATTAGCTTGGCGTTCTCCGTGTTGTATTTGAGAATCATGCTTTTTCCTTTGTGTATGTTGAAGCTTATTGATGCAGAGACTGCTGTTACATTAGTTGTCTCCATCTGTATTTGTTCGTGTGTATGAGGTAGGAGGGCTAGTTCATCTACGAAGTCCAAATCTTCTAACTGATTCCGAGCTGTTCATTCTATTCCATGCTTCCCTTCCATGTGGAGATTTTCATAATCCAATCAACCACCAGAAGAAAAAGAAAGGGGGAGAGTAAGTAGCTTTGTCCGACTCCGATTCTCACTTGGAATGAGTCTGTCAGCTGTCCTGCATGTATAACCTTGCAGTGTAGTCCATTGTATGAATGCCGTATGGTGTTGACGATTTTCGCAGGTACACCATATTGTCGAAGTTTCCATAATGTTCTTATGTCCACGCTGTATAGTGACTAGTTCCGTTCAATTGATTGTTCAACGATGATCCGTAGTGTTGCAATTTAGTCTGTGCATGACCGATCCTTACGGAATCCAGCCTGTTGATCTAGGAGCTGGACGTCTACAGAATCTTTCATCCGGTTCAGCAACACTGTTGAAAACTTCTGGTACTGACAACAGTGTGATACCTTTGTAATTCTCACATTTGCTCAGATCTCCTTTCTTTCTTATCTTGATGATGTATCTTTCTTTCCAGTTCATCGATACTTGTTCCTCCTCCCAAATCTTCGTGGATGGAAGGTGAAGCATGTTTGCAGTTACTTCTATGTCTGACCTCAGTGCTTCAGCTGGTATATTGTCAGGTCCTGCTGCTTTCCTATTCTTGATTTGTCTGATGGCAATCTTGATTTCTTCGGTCGTTGGTAGAGTGACATCTATAGAATGGTTTGTGTGTGCTGCTTCGATATTCGGTGGGTTCAATGGGGCTGGTCTATTCAGCAGTTCCTCAAAGTATTCTGCCCATCTTTTCCTCCGTTCTTGAATCTCCGTGATTGTCTTCTATTCTTTGTCCTTGACTGGTCTCTCCGGTTTACTATATCTCCCTGATAGTTTCTTCGTTGTATCATATGACTGTCTCATATTCCATTCTCTTGCAGCTTTTTCCACCATGATTGCTAGTACTCTCATGTATTTCTGCTTGTCAGCTTTAATTCTCTTCTTCACTTGCTTGTTTGCTTCTGCGTAGTTTGCTTGTGCCTTGCCTTTCTCTGCTCGTGTTCGACTGTTGTTAATTGCTGTCTTTTTGTTCTTCCTTTCTTGAATCTTGTCCAGGGTTTTAATAGAGATCCATTCTTTATGATGATGTTTCTTGCGACCCAGAACCTCCTGATACGTTGAAGTTAATGCTTCTTTGATCCCTTTGTAGTTGTCCTCCATCGTAGTTTCTTGTTCCTTCAATAGATCCTGTAGAGCTTGTAACCTGTTGTTGAGAGTTATCTTGAATTGGTTGAGTTTGTCAGTATCTTGAGGGAAGGCTGTATTGAACCTTTGCAATGCTGTTTTTTCAGTTGTGCAGTGTTTCTTTAGCTCTAGTTTCATCTTGGCAATAACCAGGTGGTGATCTGAAGCTATATCAGCTCCTCTCCTGGTTCTCACATCTTCCATTTTCCTTCGGAATATTTTTTTGATACAAATATGATCTACCTAGTTCTCTGTGGTGTGGTGTGGTTTGATCCATGTAGCTTTATGTATGCGTTTGTGTGGAAATATTGTGCCTCCTATAACCAATTTGTTTAATGCACTTAGATTTGCGAATCCCCCCATTTTTATTTCTCTCCCAGTCCATGTCGTCCCATGATATCTTCATATCCGATGTTGTCCACTCCGACTTTGGCGTTTGGGTCTCCCATCGGGATGGTGAGGTCCTTTCTCGAGCACTTCGCTGTGGTCGTTTGCAGCCTTTCATAGAACTGATCTTTGTCGTTGTCGTTGCCATCATTGGTGGGTGCATAATATTAGATAACATTCATTGTGATCCCCTCCCTTACTTTGAATGATACTTTGATGATTCTGAATCGCTGAGATTTTCATCCTACAAGTGCATTTCGTGCTTCTCTGGACAGCGTCAGAGCAACTCCCTAAGTGTGTGGGGCATTTTCTTTTTGGTGTCTGGAGTAGATCAGCATCTTTTACGTATCTAGCCTTTGCTGTCTAGCTTGCGTCCAATGTGTTTTTCAGTTTTTCAATAACAGTTCATAATTTCACGTAGTAAATATTTAAAATTTCACTTAATCGATATATTTTACCATGTATCCATCTTAAATGGATACTGATATTGAATCGCCAAATAGATCCCATTGCTGTGCTAGACTTACACATTAAATATACTAATAATTAAACAAACAATAACTTTGTGTTGAATTTCACTTTATTTAACTCATTTTTGTTCCCCAAATATTTATTCATTCTCTTTTTTCTGTGTTTTTTAATCTCTTCTTTTTGATATATTATTTTTGTGGAATAGGCTAATGGACATGGAACTGTATTGTTTTCTAAACATATTTTAAACTTTGCAGAAAATCTAAATGTGAATAATCCACTTCGTACATTTATTGATTTAACTAATACTTCAATTGGTGATGCTATAACTGATATTCTTTTAGTGGAATATACATTAGCCTGGTTAAATTGGTCATTTGTTAATTGGTTTTCAATGTACGATGATTTACCATCGAAACAATTAAAAGTTACTGTAGCTAACCGTGATCTTATAAAAGTTACATGGGATGAAAGACGTGTAACAAGTCCAATTGAATTACAAGTAAATCTATCAATTTTATTGTCAAGGTATAGTTTAATTACACTGATTAATTATTTTAAGTAATAAAATTGTCTCCATAGTAATCTCTCTCTCTCTCTGTATATATATATATATATATATATATATATATATATATATAAATGCTTTCACATGTTCACATGCATACGGCCACTGCCAGGGAAATCCTACTCACTGTCTTCTTGCAGCGTGGGTGTTCTCCATGAAATTAAGAAGTTGAAAAGCGAATGTCCGGAGCATTGACCGGATTAGTGGATACGAAGGATCCACCTAGGGGAGTTGAAAAACCCAGATTTCAAACCGATGGTGCACATAGGCTCCAGGATCCTGAAGGAACAAATGGAGTATAAATCGATCGTTGGTCACCGGCTACTATGGGACTGCATCTCCTTACGATGCTCCACTGCCTTGTGGACTAGACCTTTAGGTCGAAGGCTCCAGGTGTGGCTCCCTAAGAAGACCACATGCTTCGGTCTAGGCATCCGGGCAGCATCATAGCCCACACACAAATCAAGTGACTTGTGTGGCGCATATGTATTCAGTGTCCTTTTGTACCAATATTTATGTGTCCAAATAAATAAATAACACTTTTTTTTATCCATGTTAAATAATTTTATCATTTATCCGTTAAAGTTATGGAATGTCATCCCATGGATCTTCGTAACATATGTCTGGGAATGTTTTTATAGTAAATTTAAAGTTATATATATATATATGACAGAGTAAATGAGGAATGTACATATGATATAAACACTCAGAGTAGTTAATGTTAAATCAGGGGTAAACTCAGTTATTCTATTTATTTAAGCAAGTTCTGAGATATTTTTTATAAACTGCTACCGACCCAAGATCTTTCATCATTTGAATAAGTATTGAATCTTATTTTCATAGATTACTATAGAACAGTTCATGTATATGCGATGTATGCTACTTACGTTGACAGATATAAGTAGTATGTAGCACCAATCGGAATACCTGTCAGCAGAAGATTGAGAAATTGAATTGAAGAGAACAAGAAGGGAAACAGAGGGCAATTTTAATAACAACAGAATTGAAGGAATCTTGAAACATGTAAAGAACAACTGAAATAAGGTGTGCAAATAATGTATTTAATGTATGGTTTTCATATTTTAAGAATGCACTGTGTAATTTTGCATTAAACAATAAATAGGTTCCCCCCAACTGAGTGTTCAGGCACTACATGTGTAAAATACAGAAAACTTATTGACCCGCTTATCTACCAATAAGATATCTATCTAAGATTGACTTGTAGTGACTAATCTAGAAAAGTAACTTACGGCAATGATTTGTAAGAGTTTGAACCGATCATCATCATCGAGATTTTTTCTGCATTAGCTAAAAAGTTGTGTACCATACATATACAAACTAGGATTACAAAGTTCTATGTCGAGATAAATATTCGATAAAAGTAAATTTTCGAAACAACCCTATCTGAAGTTATTGCTTATATAGTTATTAAATAGTTATTAAAATAGTTATTAAATAGTTATTAAATAATTAAACTATTATGTTTTTTTCATCCCGCTACTTCCAAGCCTTTATTTGACATACGTCATTCTAGTGTGCTTTAGCTTTCTGAAATTATTTGTAGTGTATAACAGACCTATCAGTCAGTCCTTTTTAACTCATAAAATGGTTGTTCCCGTATAGTAATTTCTTAATTCGATTGATATGTGGTCAGGATTTTGCTCTATATCAATATATGTCATTCATAAACTCGAACTGTATAGTTAGATGTTATTTGCTTGCTTGGTTGCTCTCTATTATGACTATCGGGTGGTCGAGTCAGTCAGTGTTAATCAGCGTGGAAACTGACATATTTGTGCACAATTTGACATAACATAACCGCATGGATGTACAAACATTGATTATGTAGAACTAATATAAAATGTAAATTACTATTTAATTACATTTAGTCTTTTGATAATGTACGTATATATCAGAACTGTTTAAAATCTGTCAGCATAACCTTGATATATATATATATATACATATATATATATATATCGTTTGACATTTCGAAGCTCCCAAATGCTCTGGTACGGCCGAAAGTGAGAGGAGTCCGCTTTCCCTCTCGTAATGCTCTCATATGGCCACGCGTATACAGCCACTGCCAGAAAAGTCCTACTCATTGTCTTCTAGAGCAGGGGGTGCTCTCCATGAAATTGAGGGGAAGAAAAGCGAATGTCCGGAGCACTAACCGGGTCGGTGGACACGGAAGGTTCACCTAGGGGAGTTGGAAAACCCTGATTCCAAACCAATGGTGCATATGGGCTCCAGTATCCTAAGAGAACAAATGGCGTATGGATCAACCATCAGTCACCGGTTATCATGAGACTGCATCTCCTCACGATGCTCCACTGCCTTGTGGATCAGACCTTTAGGTCAAAGGCTCCGGGTGCGACCCTCTAAGAAAGCCACCTGCTTCAGTTTGGGCACCTGGGCAGTATCACATCCCTCATACAAATCAAATGAGATGTTTGTGGCGCATATATATCTGATGCCCCTTTTTACCAATATTTATGTTCTTAAATAAATAAAAATAAGGCTCAAACAGTCAACTAATATTATAAACTGGTGTTTATTAACAATTGTAGCTTTTACTTATCACTGGGGGAAAACTGTTTTTAAGTTCAAAGAAATTTAGGTTTCTGTAGTGATAAATGATTAGTAAGCTATTCATCAGAATGAATTTCTGAAATCTACTTTCTCCATTATTATACTTAAATCGTGAAATGTAACATTAATCTAAAAGGATAATTTTTCATTGAAATTTTGTTAAAACTTACAGCTTCTAAATAAGGGTTTTAACCGTCATTCCGTCTAAATAATTCTTGTATATTATGATCTGTTCGGTCTTAATACTATTGTTAATGATTATAATTTTATCACTTACTCTTTAATTTCCAATATATATGTGTTTTACAATTTCAAGATTGCTATCGATGAAGCTGTTCAACAAGCTGATAAATTAGTTGGTAAAATTGGTACATCACGTGCATTTGTTCGTCCATCAGGTACAGAAAACACTGTACGTATTTATGCTGAATCCTATACACATGAAGCAACTGATTGGTTATCCGCAACGATCGCTTTGATAACTTATAAATTAGCCGGTGGAATAGGTCATCAGCCAACACCTCCTAAGCCTCTTCATTCCATCTGTAGTTGATTCACCAACTATTTTTAATCGTAATCACTGTGAATAAACGTGCTGATATATGCTCTTTCTTTCCTCCTTTTGTTCTGTCTTGTTTTATTTAATCGTATGCAGTTATTTTAATGTATTTCGTTATTATTTGTGATCTTATGAAATTATGACTTTCGTTCCTTTACTGTTTTTTTCCTATGTTTTCCTCTCGATTATATCTGATGGTAATTATTAAGTAGTTAATTTATATAATTTTATGTCATGAAATAATGTGTATTACATTGTGATATAGAATATTTACAATAAATTAATTTCATGAAGAACAACTGTTATTAATAATAATGTTTTAATTTTAATTTTGTTTTAGAAAGACAAGACTATGTGTTAGGTGGTTGGAGGTAGTCGACAGGAAACCCTAGAGCTAGGTCTCATGCTATTTAAAACCCGTTAATGAGATATACTCGTAGTTATGAAAAAGGATTACTCACTAGCAGATTCTGTCCCATGTCATCTGGCTTCACAGTTAGAGACGTTACTTTTTAGCTGCCCAGGTCACGATTGACCTCCTGCAGGTACTAAATATTTACAACGGATTGAGCATTGAGTAGTGACCAATGTCATGTTTATCTAGTTCCTTATAATCCTGGCCGGTTTCTGCTGGTCAAGCTGCAACTTGACAAGCATCATATTGGTCACCGCTCAGTTATTGATCAATTGTATAAAACTGTGTTTGTGAAAATTTAATGAATAATAGTGATTGCTTCAGTTGTATATATATATATATATATATATATATATATATATATATATATATATATAATTGAGTTATCAAAGTTTTGTGCCTTGAGATTTTCAAGATTGACAATCTAGTTATTGTACCGTATGTTTGTGAAGGTGAAATAAAAGGAATTCCACTGTCGATTCAATCACTATTTACACTTGAGTAACGGGTTATCATAGTATATTAAGTGATAAATTGACATTTTAAAATTAATTATGCGCAAAAATTGTTGAGTTATTATATAATATTTGATAGATATTATTTATTTAAACACATAAATATTGGTACAAAGGGGCATCAGATATATATGCGCCACAAACATCTCATTTGATTTGTATGAGGGATGTGATACTGCCCAGGTGCCCAAACTGAAGCAGGTGGCTTTCTTAGAGGGTCGCACCCGGAGCCTTTGACCTAAAGGTCTGATCCACAAGGCAGTGGAGCATCGTGAGGAGATGCAGTCTCATGATAACCGGTGACTGATGGTTGATCCATACGCCATTTGTTCTCTTAGGATACTGGAGCCCATATGCACCATTGGTTTGGAATCAGGGTTTTCCAACTCCCCTAGGTGAACCTTCCGTGTCCACCGACCCGGTTAGTGCTCCGGACATTCGCTTTTCTTCCCCTCAATTTCATGGAGAGCACCCCCTGCTCTAGAAGACAATGAGTAGGACTTTTCTGGCAGTGGCTGTATACGCGTGGCCATATGAGAGCATTACGAGAGGGAGAGCTGACTCTCCTCACTCTCGTTCGTACCAGGGCATATGGGAGCTGGTATCACTGCCAGGATACGAACCTGGGTTAGTGCGGAAAAAATTATCTGATAGAATAATTATTAGATTACAAAAAATTGATGATATGTTATATTTACGTAATTGAACGAGTTGTGATGGGAGTCTGAAAACTAAGTAGTCGGTTGTGTTTATTTTTTCAGATTAATCTATCATGCACTGGAAATATTTTCTGTAATTTTAAAAGCTGTGTCAGACTGACATTGATTTTTTTCATCTGTTTATTATTCGTAAATTTTCATTTCTAACTATTTCCATTTCAGATAAAACAATTCAATGTACAATTTTTCCGAAATTTCTCCATTCCTACTCAAAATTCGATCATGTGTTCTTTTACCTCATTGTAATGGGCGTTATTTCCCTCCAGGAACACTTTATCGTCCACATGCTGAACGTTTTGATGAGAACTGTGAACGTAAACCATTACCCCATCCAGAAACTCCACGATTTCAAGGTATTGATATACTTATATATCTATATTATTATTTAATTTTAACTAGTCTCATTTATCTTCTACAGTCGTAATAATTAGTATGGAAATAACTAGGTCTCTCTAAATCAGTCAATTGATGGTGGTGGGAATGGGTACTAACAGGTAACGTTTACTGTTCTTTTTGAACCCACGCGTTATGTAACGGTTATTTAGAGTACTGGGGTTCAGTACGGGCCTACATTAGTTCCTAATTAAAGGACGATTGAGCTTATTCTGATATGTACAGGTTCTATTACGGATTCGATAAGTCAGGAACTAGTGGATATCATCTCAACAATATTCCATTGTTATATATGAATATAAAAAACGAGAATGCAAGAAAACTTGATATTTAAGCAGATAGATCGAAATAGTACAAATCTGTCTACATAGTAGCAAAAACACGATCGGTTCAATCTGCCACATCCTATCGGATATCGAGATGAAATTACCAAGTTTAGTATTAAAATGGTCGGAGTATCACTGATAACAAAAACTTTTAGAAATGGAGAATATGATTGGATAAAAACCATTTCACGGAATAAGAAGTATAAAATAATTTCGAAACTCAAGATCTAGAGGAAGATAAAGATTGAATGCATCTGCGCCGTTGTGACCAATATCAAGCGACATCTCACAATGTCTCCACATGCTGATTGAGGGAATCGCGCGCACTCCAGTCAATCTACATCTATCAACATGACTAAGACTAGCATTCAATGATTTGAGGCACTGTGTTGATTCCATTAGTAGCAACGATGAATAATAATGCCAATGAAATATTGGTTCTTATTTACTTCATATAGATTTTATCGGTTATCGTCGTTGACAACAACGGGAAATGAAAAGTTCAATACAAAAGTATTTGAGATGCATATATTTTATACATGTATATGCGCTTCATTTATTTATTTATTTATTTAAACACATAAATATTGGTACAAGGAAGCACCAGATAAATATGCGCCTCACAAATCTCATTTGATTTGTGTGAGGGCTGTGATACTGCTCAGGTGCCCAGACTGAAGCAGGTGGTTTTCTTAGGGGGGCACACCCGGAGCCTTTGACCTAAAGGTCTGATCCACAAGGCAGTGGAGCATCGTGAGGAGATGCAGTCCCATGGTAGCCGGTGATCAACGGTTGATTCGTACGCCATTTGTTCCTTGAGGATACTGGAGCCCATGTGCACCACTGGTTTGGAATCAGGGTTTTCCAACTCCCCTAGGTGAACTTTCCGTGTCCACCAACCCGGTTAAAGCGCCGGACATTCGCTTTTCGTCCTCTCACTTTCGTAAAGAACACCCCCGCCACGAGAAGGCAGTGAGTAGGACTTCCCTGGCAGAGGCTATATATTCGCTGGCCATATGAGAGCATTTCGAGAGGGAGAGGTGACTCTCCCCACTCTCGGCCGTACCAGGGCATTTGGGTATGAATGAATGAGATAAATAGTGAATATAGAAATCAGAGTGTTAGATGTAATCGGTGGTTAAAGAGTGAGTCAATTTTTACGTAACCCGAATAGTGTATAAATTACAGATAAGCAACTAGAGTAAATATAAAAGACACACATATAAGCTAAGCACGTATAAAGACACATCAACATAATTAATAAGGTTACATAAAAAAGGTACTCATGTAGGTCACAACTCTATCATCAGGTTGGAACGATAGATTTAGTGAACAAAAATAGATTTACTGAAGAATAACAAGAATTGCCATAAATATCATGGACTAATAGCATGTCTTTATTTGGTTAGCTGTCTGTCAGCCTACATTTATATTACCCGTCTGCTTTTCGAGGTATTCAGTGGTTAGGCATATGTAACACATGTCCCGACCATTTCAATCAACTCATTATACTCGCCCTTTGGTTGACAGGAACGTATCTCGTCCATTTAGTTTGGATAATCAGTCACAACCTGAACGTTTCAATTACCGATTGATATTGTCCAGATCTCTTAAGGTGTTTGTCACTTTCTCTGAGTTTACAGATTTGTCCTTTTATTACTTGTTAATAATGACAAAGCAATGTTTCTGTACTTCCTATCTACTATCTGCAACAATTATAAATAAATCTAAATTGAGAATTGATGAACCAAGTCAATTTTGTGTAACTGCCTCTACCTACAAAATCATTTATTCTCACCTAGTGGTTTGATGTCAGGAAACTGGTACCCTAAAATCATCAATAGTTAAAATCTCTGTAGCTTATTCATGTCTTTTACTATTGACGTCTCAAGTTTGTGCAGCGGAAAAAACATTCTGCTGTTCTTACAACTGTTTGATCACTGAGTGGTCACCGATGTCATGTATAGTAAGTCCACATTACAACTTGATCATTACAATCCGACCAGCAACAAGAAGGACTCGGCAAACACGACATTTATCAGTACTTATTAACCAGACAGTTGTAAATACACCCTTGTCCTACAACAGGTCTTTCATGGCCCTGATAGCTCAGTGGTATCGTCTCTGACTGTAATGCTGAGTGTCAGGACATCGTATCAGCCAGGTAGTATCAGTCCCTTCGAGACTACAAGTAAATCTCGCTGATAAGTGTCAAATGGCATGAAACGCCAGTCCAGAGTTTCTTTTCAAGCTGTCTTCAACTAATTTCCAACACTTCTGTACAATACATCACTTCAACCATCTATTTTTTGTGTGTCACAACTAGCACTAACTGGGTGAATCTTCTACATACTTATTGAGAATTCATTAATAATTAGGTCATTAAATTTCTCAAGCTGGTGAATGAGTTAATTTTTTGAGATATCTTACTTTGTTTTGTTGAATTCTTGAAAAATTATACATATTAACTATGGTCGACTTAAATCCACCATTCTCATTTTTTCATTAGTCGTTTTCTTAGAACAACTCATTCTATCTCCTTTTCTTCATTCAAAAACATATGTAACTGGATTTGTGACAGCTTTGTGTTAATTCAAGTAGCATCACTGCACAGATCAAATGACAGATAAAGAAATAGATGCAAAGATATTAATAGTAGTAAAGAGTTAAATAACAAAATAGTAGAAATGCACAAAAGCGGAAAATATAATAGATAAAATATACATTAATTATATGAAAAGGACAGTTGGATAGATTTGTATCATTTTTATATGTATTTTAAGGTATCATCTTACCAGAATAATGCCAACCTTATATTCTTATAATTGTCAATGTCCATTATTTGATTAATGATATCAAGGGGATTGATTCATTTGTGAAAGGAAATTGTACTATCAATTTAATTAGACATTCTTAGCTAAAAGCTATATAGATATATATGGATTATCACTACTCATCAAATATAATAGTTCATACGATCACTTGTATTTTTGATTTTTTTCCTGAAGTGGACATTTTCTTATCTTGTCGTGCATTTGGTTTTTATGACAGAGAATCAGATTTGCCATAAACTTTAAATGGTATTTTAGGACAAATATAAAGCATAAGTCTTACTATTATGGCTTTTTTTTAGCATCGTTTCATTAAACAAATAGACTATTCTCTACTAATCGTTGTTATCATACAAATAAAAATAACATTGTATGGATTATGTAATAAGTAACCTACCTATTTTCACTTGTAGAATAATTATTTGTCTAAATGGCATACTACAACTCTTGCTTGTTACATGCTCAATCCATTTGTAATTATCTTTCAATTTCAAAGTTTATTTTCATTTATAATACTTTAACAGTTTATCAAAACCATAGTCCTAACATAAGGACAGCTGAACATATATGTAATATAGGAACATACCGATCATTACAAAACTTGAAATTTACACTCATATGCACAGAAATTTCACTAATTATTATCCATAAGTTAAGATATACTGTATTTATTATTAACACAGATATTTCATTTCGGTTACAATATATCATCTAACAAATTTCTAGCTTTTATATGCTCAAACGAATCTTAACAAGGTTTACGCCAATTTTTTTGACGGTAATTTCAACAAGAACTTATAAATGCGATTGTAAATTGAATTGAAATTTCAGGAAGTTTAATCTATCTGTCATGCTTTAAAATGTAAATTTGTTATTCTTTTACTACTAAAATATACAATAATACTTTTGTAACATTTTTCTGCATAGAACTTCCTGTCACAGATCCTAGAAATAAGCCGAAAATTGCCGGTAAACGACCAATTCATGTAATTTGTGAACCTAACCAAGTTTATTGGTGGTGTTCTTGTGGTCATAGTAAACGTCAACCATTCTGTGATGGACATCATATTCGGATATTAGGCTCAAATCCAGGCTTTAAAATCCATAAGCGAGAATTCAAACCTATTCGTTTAGTTTATGAACAGTAAGTTAACCCTGTTGTTTTTAAAGTACTTTTTAAACTATTACTACTTTTATGACTAACCCACTTCATTGTTAATGCTCTCCTTTTACATGTTAAAAAATAACTGATGTCACTTACGTCACTTGTAACTCTCAAGTACAATATGTCACTCAAAAATTCACTTTGACTACTTTTACATTGAGAATATTTAGCACTGAAGAAATAAAGAGATAAGTGGATTAATTAAGTTTGTCTCGAGGCCTGTTAAGGATGTGTAGGCTGGTGTCACTTTCCGGTTACTCATACCATAGAATAATAATTATTGTAGTACCTTAAAAAGAAATTAAATTATTAGTAGAGTGATCTTGGCGACCCGGAAAAATGACTGCAGAGCCTTAAGAACAGTTACTTAAGACTGGTTACATAGGACATTTTGCGAGTATTTCTTGTGTTAGGTGTGCTTTAAAGGTACTGCCAATCGCTACGGAAATTCTCGAAGTAAGGTGAGGTATGATATTCTTATTCCCTACCTTGTCTAACTTATCCTCCCGTTATGGAAAGTCCGGATCGCTGCTAATGTTGGTTGAATGAGAGCAACACCTTGTTACCATCATATCAGCATGGTCAAAAGTAAGAGTTCACCCAACCGCTGGTTATGATAGTCACACGGACCCCAACCAAGTAGTCTGCATCTGCCAGCATGACTCAGACTAGGAGTTAGTGGCTCCAACAATTGATGCCACATTTTGGTTTGACCCCCCATCCATCTCCAACACTAGTCAGTATTGCGTGCCATAGTAATCGGTGTTTTGGCATGTGTGTTACGTGGTCCAACCATCTTGGTCGGTGTAGATTCACAACCTCATTACCTAATTTACTATCACCCCCTAATATCCTGTGTCTAACGTGTCATCAGTCCACTAACTATCAGTCACTAACTTCTGATCTGAGCCATGTTGGTAGATGCAAACTATTTGGTTGGGGTCCGTGCGATTCTTACCTAATGGTGGAGATTTCGGTTGACATGTGTGACAATCCGTCTCAATGGCGCATATATATATTCACTCTTTGTCCTCTTCTAGATATTGAGTCTCAAAATAGTCCCATGTTTTTTTATTCCACATTTCCTTCTCGATTCACGTCCTCTTTATCTTATATTTTATACTACGACCGATACGAAAGCTCATTGTACTAATCTGGGATTTGTCTTGATAGTTTTTTCTCCTTCTACTCATATGCTGTAACAACTTTATCCGTGTCACCAGGTTCTACGTTGCATATAAATGACTGACTATTCTTATCACTAATAATTTGCTAATAACTTGTTTGGAGTTTTAATTCAACTTCAAGTAATACATATATCCCTTAAATGTAAAGATCTTACAATTTTTTCAAAATTTAACCTGAGACAAATATGTATAAGTGATTGGAAAATGTCCAGCATTGTGAGGAATACATTTCTACTTGAAAATCAAACTGAGGGACGTTATCGATCCGCGGTTACCCACACCGTGGAAGGGTTCTTCTAGAAGTATATATATATATATATATATATATATATATATATAAATCAGTTATCATATTTCGCTAACACAGAGCTAAAGATTACAATGATATCACGTAAACGTATTGATAATAATCCTAGAATTAAGCTACAATTCGATATTATCCATCAGCAAATTCATTTATTCCTAATTAGTGTCAAAGCTAACAGCCACATTACTTATTTCGTAATAGAATATGAAACAAAATTTACGTAGTCAATTCTTTCCATAATCTTTGTATCAAAGTGAACTATGAAATATTAAAATTCTAAGCTACATTATCGTCAGATTTTTATCTTTTGGACACAATAATCGCAAAATGAACTAACATACACCAATTCTTTAGTGTAAATGATAACAGCTCATTTTATCTATATTTTTTAGTATTTACAAGTTAGTAGAAAAGTTACCGTATACTTAGAAAGGATCTATTCATGAATCAACGGATCGAGATGAGCGTAATCGTTTCATTCACTACAGTGTCTGTCATTCCTTATGATCAATTAGCATGAAATCCATACTCATTATGCAGATGTCAGTATATTATAATTAAGCAATAATTATTCGTTGCAGTAGGTTGAAAAGGCAAAGAATTTTGTAACATTACTCTAGAAAGTTCAAAGTTTATAACACAGGAAAATTTAGTCTTTTAACAAATATAAGTAGATGTTTTCAATCACATCTGTTATAAATATTTTTTGCCACGTAGTGCAAATACCAATGCTCTATGTAAAGTAGAGTTTGACATGTGTATTTATCTTTACATCACATAAGTTTTTATTTAGATGAATGATTAGTGACTGATGGAATAAAACTACCAAGTGCTTTCCAAGGCTAACAAATATTTATCGCAAACATAACTTGATACCAACTTTATTAGTAAACATTTTGACTACTTTTATAGTCTAAAATAACAATAATTTTAATTCATTTTTGTATTGATTGTTTAAATCTTCTCATTGATGCTTAGGACTGCAATTGATCAGTTTCTTATTGGCACATGTTCATCTTGTGCGGATCGTCTCGATATTGCCTTCAGTCACAAGCATCATCTCTTCTTATAATAAATAAATTTATCTCACAACTATTATGCATTTATACATTAGTTTATAAAATTTGAATATCTCTTTGAATAAAGTACACCAATCTTTTACTCAAGAAAATTTTTTTAAAGTTGTGTTTAATGGAGCAAGGATCCTTAGTTAACCTAGAACACAACGATATTGTTACCTAGCATTAACTTTTATCACTGATATGCCTGCTGTATGACTTTTCCCGTTCTTGTTTTCCAAGTTTTGACTGAAGTAATATCTGTAATGGATCAGAAATAGTTAGTCAATAATGATGCTTTGTAATCAAATCGTAATAAAATGTCATATATATATATATATATATATATATATATATATATATATATATATATATCGTTCTTCTTTTTTAATTTTAGACCGTCTGAAGTATGGTTTTGTACGTGTAAACAGACATCAGAACCGCCTTATTGTGATGGAAGCCATAATTGTGAAGAAGTACAGTCTAAAATTAAATACTAATTATTACACTTTTTATCTATAAAGTTAGCCATTGTATAAAAAATCACTTATGTACACCATTGTGTAATCTTATGAGTAAAATAGATAAAATTTAGTATAATTGTATTGACTGTGTATGTTTTGTTTATTGCATCATCAAGTTGTCTGTCAATTTATGCTATTACGTTAAATAGTCTTTATTGGCCGTATCGTGTAACCATTTTACTCCTTGCTCGTATTCAATCTGAATGATCTTTTCGGATAATCTTTTTTTATTGTACACTTACTCACTAAACTTCTCAAGTTTCTTTGTACAATTCAAATAAACTTATAACAGGATTAACTGCGAGTCTAGTTAAAGCTTGTTCGCATTGGTACAGATGTATTTAGTTGTTGTTACTCATTCTGCTGTAGTGTTGGTTGTTATGTTAAACCCATATAGCTTATTCTAGCTTCTGGACAAACCAAGTTATCCATTCTCCTCAAGTTACATTTTGACCATGTTAGTTATTCACTTGTCAACCTTGACTGTTTTTATGTAGACGTATGTGTGTGCATTTCTTATCTTACTTATCACATGTCTGTAACTTACTTTTTTGTCTGACTATAAATATCGACTCATACTTAGTTAAGTGGAGTTGGCTCACACGCCTTCTCCATTGCGCGTCATTTTGTCTTTCTTCGCTTTCTGACCAACGATTGCATAAAATATACGTATTCAAAATCCATCCTCATATTTGACTTATTTAATTCCGTCATTCACTAACGCAAGTTAAGTCGATTATATACGAAATAGTCAGGATGTATATTTCTACAGTAATCATTCGATAACGATAATCATACGATATAATTGGAGTCAGATATAGGGCTACAAGACTGAAGATCCTGTTTTGGTATTTCATGCCTTTTATTCCTTTATTTCATTTGTTCTCGAAGCACATTCTTTGTCATTACTGTTTTACCATGATTGGTATTATTATTTCGACTTAATCTATTGTATTTTTGTGAATTTCATAACTCACTGTGGTGATGTGAATTATAACAATAGACTAACAGATAATTGTTGTAAATTGTATACTGTTTCTAATGAACTAAAAGACATTGGGTGGCATAATTTGAACGTAATACCAAGTGTTATACATATATCCGATTTCTATTTTGAGTCGATAGATAGAGAGAGAACCATACTAAGTTGCTCTCCTGAATGTTTTACTGTTTAATATTAATGGATTACTTGAAGACAGTGTACTGTAAATTATTTTCAATGCTTTAACAAGTAGTAAAATTGTACACCCTGTTTTATATTAAATGGAAATTACGGTTTTACTTTTAGGTTTAATTACTATCAACTGCAACATTGGTCTCTTATGAAGTCCATTGTTTCGTAAACAGTAGAACTCATTCGATCTACCAAGTTGATTTGTAAACATTATATCAAGTAACGTGACATCCCAGTACACTATGTTTGATGTTACTTGGTTGGAAATAATCAAGATAGTAATCCTTTAATCTAAGCGTCATGATATTAGTTACTCATCAGTAGTGTGGATATGTATTTCAAGGGAGCTGGTGATCTCTGTGAAATTAAAAGATGATTCATCCAGCCGGACAGATATATGGCCAACGAGCTGTTTTAACCACACTCTCCAATTTCAAGGTTATAAAAGTTTTCTTCGACATTTCAGATACATATATTAATGACGAGTACCTAATGTATTTTTGTGACTTCTATTGTTGATCCTCTTCATGGTTGGTAACCTAACATTATTATCATTAGTTTAAGTTATCGCGTAGATCTCGCCTTATAATCTGGAAACGAAATTTTCTGCTAGTTTTCACACATTTACGAGTTTTTTTCAGTTTTAAGTAGTTGAAACTTAATCAATCACAAATAGAATAACTAAAGAAATTATGGGTTACCATTGAAATCCCATGTATGCTACTCCGTTTCTAGATTTTCAGTTAATGCTCAAAACATCAATCTGGTAATGATTGTATATGATTCAAAATTCTCTATTTGTTTTCTCCAACGTTTGTCCGTTAGAGCAATTGAATTTTACGCTTCCAAGTGTACAGTATGTTTTTATTCTTGGGTGTGCTATAGATTATGGTTTTACAGACACGACAAGTAAATCAAACAAGTATTCACCATGTTAAAAATACATCTGATTAAAGTTGGGTTTCATTGAATATACTCTCAGTTTAATCAACTGAATTATTTACTCATCTTGATCTTTCCAAAATAATTTCTGCTCAGTCCCGGTGAAGTTCAGTTCTTCGAAGTATGTGGTAAATAGTTAATAACATTAATAATTACAAACTCACATAGAGACAAAGTATCTGAAGTACAACCAACGAATTGAACTGAATGCTCTCATACAAATTCATTCAGAAAATGATATACTTGTAAACCCATTTCAATAACTACAGAGTTTGAGATCAGTAAACCTATGGTGAACAGATGAATTGGTCAACCGTTCTAATTCAAAATCAAAGCGGATAAACCAGAATCGATTTTTACTGTTGGGCAAATCATGACTAGTTGCAATGAATTCATCTTAATCAGGTACTATCAGGAAGTTTGATCGCTTAGAAAGACGATACTACGCTTTTATGAACATAACTTTACAAATAAAGCTTGTTAGGCGAACCGTATAAAATCGTTTCACGGAAATTTGTATTGATGTAATAAGTCATTCAGAGAACAGTCGTTCGAAGCTAATAATGAGGTTAATATTGTTATTGTAGTAAAGAAAAGAGCGTAAGTACAGAATACGTTAATTCATCTAACTGGTAGGTTTTCAGAATATAAGCGAGAACTCTTCAAAATAAGTCATATGCAAAATATATTTAGATTTAATTATGTGGAATGTTCATCAGCTTACTAATTTTCGTTTCTCATAGTCATCTGTTTTCAAATTCACTTAGAACTGGCCATGCTATTTTTACATTCGTTTGGGGTCATCATTATGTCGTAAGATATACAAAAAGAAAAACGTTTGCAACTGACGAATTTGGGTTGACAGTATTACTTACGCCTGTTACCCCTTGTGGAGGAGCATAGGCCGCTCACCAGCATTCTCCATCCAACTCTGTCCTGAGCCTTCCTTTCCAGTTCTTTCCAGTTGCTATTCATCCTTTTCATATCGGCTTCTATTTCCCGGCGTAGTGTGTTCTTTGGCCTTCCTCTTTTCCGCTTCCCTTCCAGATTCCAAGTTAGGGATTGAGTCGTGATGCACATTGGTGATTTCCTTAATGTATGTCCGACCCACTTCCAACGTCTTTTCCTAATTTCCTCTTCAGCTGGAAGCTGGTTTGTCCTCTCCCATAAAACGCTGTTGCTGATAGTATTGTTGACAGTATTAAAAGCTGCATAACAATGTGGAAATAAAATTCTAGTGCTTTTGAGAAAATAAAGAATATTTAAGTCAAAAATTATTTGCAACAATTTCGTCTACATGGTTAGCAGAGATGGATAGTGGATAGCAGTGGAATCCAGGACGCGCGTCTCGTCCTATTCGGGACTCGTCAGGTGGATGTACCTGCATCTCACAGTTGATGTTCACTCTGGGACTCGAACCCAGTACCCTCGCTTCAAACGCCATCGCGTTATCCACTCGGCCACCATCTCTGCTAACCATGCTTGTGAATTAAGGTATATCGAGGCAATACGCACAGTATGCACATATGCCAATTAGAGACTGACCAGTTGCAGTCCTAACAAATCGATGGGAAGATTCAAACAAACAGTACTAAGTTGAATTTAAACTTCGTCTACAGTTGTTAATCCATGGTAATTTTCTTACGACGATGATATGACAGAATAAGATGGTACTATTTAGGTCAGTATTTCTTCTTATCAGTTTATTATGAAATTTGGCCAGGATGGTAGGTGCTAACTTTGTTCAGTGTGACTATTATGTACCCTGTATTCATTCAAATGAACTGTGTTCAGTGTTTGTTACAATAACCCTATGTATTTCTACCTATGTTTGCTGTTATAAAATGTGTAAAATCTAATAGATAAATGAATATCTTGTGGCCTAAGAATGATATGATTTAGAGGAGTCGATAAGTCTTCGTTGAACCAGTTTTTCGTATTCTTACATTGGGTAGTGGGAATTTTAGTGGATCTCGGCTTCAAAGTATAAGCAGTAGAATCGTGGTATTGCAGTGATTCCCGATTGTCAAACAAACTCAGTAAAACTACGGGCTCAATAGAGTCCATTTGGACATAACAGTGACGACTCCCCAAATACAACAGCTATTGATCCAGATATAACACAGTTGACCCTCCTGTTAAAAAATATAGCATATATAAATCAGTAAATGACATAATGTTATCTGTTACGATGGTGGACCTTCGCATCAGTTATGGCTTAGATGCATTGAAAATATGTAATTTGAAAATCCATTTATTACAGGGGTAGGAAAATTCATTGTATCTAGCCACAACTAATTTAGTAAATTTTGTGAGTAGGATGCATAAATGGAGAAATATTATATCAGGTTAATTGGGGTTATAATAGTAAAAGCATATGAATATAATATCTAATAAGATTTCTTCAGGATAAATATAAAACAATAAGAAACTCGTGTGGATTGCTAAAGATAAATTTAAAATTTAAGATTGGGGCAGGAGAGGAGTAGACAAAAAGATATTTAGAGTAGGAGGTTATAATAAGTGGCTTATATACTAATCAACAGTGTAATGGTTAGTGAAACTCTTAGAACCATAACTCCGAAACTTGGCCAAGTGTAGTCAGATAAAATGGAAGTAGTGATAAATTGTGGAATCAACATTAGAAACGTCAACAGTGTATCGGATAATGTCAATTTTACTAAAGAGATTAAATCCATTGACCACAAGCTGCCATTTCGTGACCGTTTGACTTAAAGGAAACAAAAGTTTTTTAAAATCCCTATATTTTAAAATACATCCTGGAAGATATTCAGATTGCGATTCAGTAAGTACCCTTTATAAAATCAAAACTTGGCAACTCGTCATAGGACCTAATGAC